TTCGATCCTATTGTCAAGCTGCGTCTCGGCCAGCAGACTCGGAAGTGTGAGTATGCGGATTCGCAAGTTCTACACATCGAAGACTCAACGCAAACGTAACAAGAGCTGGCAGCGGCTCAGTTAAGAGTCGCCCAAACAGCGTTTGCACGACCAAATGGGAAAAATTCAAAAACGTGGAAGTTGGATCCCCTCCACATGTGTTGACGGAACAACCTAGGTCTACGTATGATCACATGCTTTCCAATGCTTGCCCGCCGGCTGCAAAAAAGGACTTGTTGTGTGGCATTGTGACTGGTGATGAAAAGTGGTTCATTTACGAGAGTGGCAAACGCAAAAAATGTGAGCAGATGCCGACCAACTCAGTACATCGATGGTGAGACAGGACATCCACTTGATGAAGGTTCTCCCATGTGTGTGGTGTGACATGAAGGGTGTACTTTCTTACGAATTCCTGGAAACTGGTCGTCAGGCGTTAACTGGGGAACGCTAAAGCCGACAGTTAAAGAAATTGAGCGAAGACCTTGACGAGAAATCACCATCTACTAGACAAGTTAAGCCATTCTGCTACTGCTGCTGCTGCATGACAACGCGACATAGTCACCAGACTTGCCTTCTAATCCGACTAGTATTTTTTGTGGTAAATGCAGCTTCAAGCCTTGGTGGATTGGCAGTTCCCAAAACGCTGGACAATGCGCGTAAATTCGTGGATGACTTCATTCCCTGGATGGCTTTCGTACTTTACTTGAGGGATGGCGTAATAGGCACTGCTTTCAAGATTAGATTTGTTGTCTATTAATTAAATAGATTTGCTAAAAAATCTGTAACAGTTAAGTCATACACCTAACTGTATCCTCAGTGCATGGAGTTAAAACCGCTATTTGTTTTGACTCGAAAGGATATGCAAACCGAACGGGCCAGTATTCTGAAATTTTTTTATCAAATCATGATTCCCTGGCATAATTTGCCCAAGGTGTTGTTGGTTTTCCACTCAGATGTGTCGGAACTAGACGAACTTGGTGAGCTTCGAGTGACGATCCAGGCATCGCGTTCCTCACGCACCCCAGAGCCACCCAGGAAGAAGCAGCACAAGGTGGAGGTCGATCACGCTGTCGGTGAAATTGACGACCTCGCCACAATGAACCATCTGCATGACCTGTGGCAAAGTCTTGCTGACCGGGAGAACGATCCCCTGCCTCACCATGTAGGCCTTTCGGTGTACTTATGCAATTCTGAGTTTTACCTTAACTTCTACCGCTGTTAATGCTACCATGAGCTGTTTTGCATAATTTCCATAGATTTCTACACCCGGAGAACGCGCTGACTTGCTTGACGGCTTGGTGACCGTGTTAGATCGTTTGCACAACCCCTGCCTGATCATGGTGGCGCGGTCAGTCGCCGACGGTTACACGCCGCGGGAACAAGTAGCTGAAATACAGCTGGAATTCTTCCGACTTCTCTGTCGTGTCTATGGGGAGTGCATGCTCACTGTTGAACTTGACTACGATGGGTAAGTACACTGCCTGTTAGGTGTTGTGAAATGACCGCGAGCACATAGCTTCGTACACACAACTTTTGCAAACCCGAATACGTTGTATCCCAACTAGTTTAAAATGACTGCTTCTAGTTGTCGTCGGTTCCCCACCTCTACCATCTCCCTATGTGATATCTTCTCCGTGCCGCTTCTGACCTGAAGTTCTTTGGGTTATTTTGCGTGGTACAAAGCACGCGCGTTTCGTATTCTGATTCTCTCTGCGACGTATTTGTTGTTACTTTCCCTATAACCCATAGCTTCAGTGAATTTCGTGGCATGTAGAGAAGTGGTCTTGAATAATCAAGACGATGGATACGCAAGTAGAAAAATCAAACTCCCCCTGTGCGTTTTCTGACGTCTTTTCGCTCATGTTTGCGTCTAGAGCCGAAGCGGATGCCCAGGCACTTCAATCTCTGGGTTTGGAAGTGACAATCACTCGAGGTCGGGAGAACCAACTGCCAAGACACGAGCACTGTGGGCCGTCAGGGGACTCTGCGTCGGAGCCTGGCACAAAAGATTTCGCCCAGATTTTGTAATTTTACGCTTATTTTCAATACACTTCCAATCATGTTTACCGCACATTGATTTCGTGATATGATTTTCCCCCTGTATTTGTAAAATTGTGCTTAATTTAAGATTTGATTGGCGAAATTGTGATAATGCTTGAGTCACATGACGTTTGTGGGTTTTGATGTGGCCACAATGACAATCTCTAAAGTGTTACACCTTCTAGTTTGAATTTGCCGAATGTCACAGCGATCGTAGACGTCAAATGTGGGTTGTGCCAAGGACAGATCTAGTGTTTTTCTCACAACAAAACAAGTTTCCAGCAACACTGCATCAGCAACCAAACTCTTAAAAATGTTGGGTTAGACACAATTTGTTGATGTTTTTGCATCTCTTGGTTGATCACTTGCTGTCTGAGATGGTCAATGATGAAGGCTCGCTGTGGCTAGGCCAATGGGATCTCCCTAAATACCAAACAACGAAACAATAATTGGTTCGAATCCTTCCTCGCGCGTGTCGACGCCAAGTTGCTGCGACAATTCGCCAAACGACTTGTGGCTTCTCCTTGATGCCCAGAGAGTGACGACGTGAATAATGCATTAGGGCCTTACAGCACGAAGAATCGTGACTGTTTTATGAACACTCTTCTGATCACACGACTGCGTCGATGACATCATTTTGAAGTTAACGCTTCTCTGTAACGGCGAATTTTGGAACTTGACTTCGATCTTTTGACACTTGTTATGTGCTGGAAGGATGGGAAATCAATGTTGTACAAAGTATTCGCGTACTCGCACGCTGAGCGTGTGGTTTGTTCTTGGTCATCAACTTTTGTGTTCAGCAGGGAACTACCTGGTTGGTCCATAGATATGTGAGTGAATGTGGCTATCCAGAGGCAATTTTGCTGTGTGAGTATTTTCGTTCATGAACATTTAGGCCTTAGCACTTTTAAATGTTCCCTGATTATAATCCAGAGACGATGTAGGTTCAGACAACTAACTATCTTCGTCACAACCCTCACTGGGTTAAGGGATTTTGTCCTTTTGGTTATTATGGGAAAAATATATGAATCACCAGTTTTCTATTATCAAAGACAAAACCAGGCTAGCCGCATACACACCACTGCCTGATGGCTAATTTTCCAGAACTACAAAATATTTTAAGGTTTACGAAATACTGGCTGAGTTGATGTCCATTGTCAAATCATAAGGCCAAGTATACGTTTGAGCAGGGATATTATAGATCAGGGACAATGCAACTGCAGCTCATGACTATATCTGCTAGCAAAATTCCAAAAATTGCGTACGAATTTTACGACAGCACAAATGATGACCGCACATCTATCTTGAAAGAATAAACTTGAGAAATGCATCTACACAAATCTTTCGTGCAGGTGACAAGTTGTGTAGCCCTATGCAAAATGTTTTTAACTCATTTAACTATCGAAAATCGTCACTTTGGGACACACGCAGAAGAAACATTTAAATTTGCAACGAATTAATTTTTCTCCCGACTGCTCAAAGGGCATACCAGATATCCATAATTCAGTACATGTCCGATGCGTGTTATTGGAAATAACAGTAATGTAGCCTCATTTAAATTATTATTTTTTCAGTAAAATTTTTGATTCGGATTTACTCCAACTCTGACCAATAACTTTTTGAGCTAAACCTAGAAATTGCAACCCAACTATCAATAAAAATAGCAGTAAATAAAGAAACCGTTAACATGGATATAAATGCTTTCCAAGTGACCATTTTTAATTTTTATTTCCGATTAGAATATAAACCAAAATAGGATCATTTTTGGACTGGAGATTAACTGATGAACAAAATACACTGTCATTTTGCTAGCATGTGCTTTAATGATTTGCAAATGACCATAATATATGCCTAATATTAATAATGGTTAAAGTCAACGCTCCACGTTTTATTAAATGACTTTTGCCCAAGAAGAAAAGTACCGCGCAAATAGATTTCATTGTTTAGGTGTGTGGCGCTTGTCTTGGTGTAGGGATGTCTTCTGACCGGCGATCAGATGCCAAGCCTGTACTAAGTCAGGTAGATTTTGCCGATTTCGTTGCATCACTGAAAAAGAATCAGCCTAGTAATTGTGTGTCCTGTGTTTCTGAATCAGTTCGTGTCGATGATAATCATCTGTTTTCGAAGTATGGGCAGCTTAAAATGAACAGCTGCAATGGCCAAATGCTTAAAAGGCCCAGAAAAACCTCTTTGGTCCGCAACAATAGTAGAAGCCCGAGGATAAATGGTTGTCAGTCTAAACGTCGGAGGACTGAGGAACCACTATCAACAAAGATCGCCCCCAAGAACGGCAAATGTGCTATTTCCTTTTCTAAACCTGAATCGGGAATTGAGCACTTATTTACACGGAATACGGGAGCTTCAATTGTATCTAAGAGATCGGAGTGTATCAATTCTCAACCTGACCAAATAACTGAAACTGCTAGACCGAAGGACCAGTTACCGTAACATAAATAGTTTTTATAATCTATATTTTAGGAATGCCACCGATGTTGATGTTCGCCCTACATGTCTCGAACAAAATTCTGACGGTATATTTGACAAAGTTGTCTTTACATTTTTCTAGTTATTAATCTTTTAAAATCTGAATCCACTTATTTTTTCGTAGTTGCCATTTCCAGTGATCAAAGGCTGTGGACGGAGCGCTATTCCGCCTCATGCTTGGATGAAATGGTTTTGAATTCCAGTGATCTACCTGCCTTTGTTTCTTGGCTTAAAGCATGGGATTCCAAAATCGCAGACGTTTGCGATGGCGGTACGCTTTTCCCTTCAGTCTTCAATAGTATTGGGGTTGTATTGCGCTTAACTGTTCCTTTTCTTGCGTTAAAGTATTCGTTTTCCCGCTTCACTTTTATTTATCAAACATGTAGACCAACGTTCAAGGAAAAAGAAACGGGATGCGGTGTATTTTCCAAGCTCAGATGATAGTTGCGATTCAAACTCATCAGGTTCTGACAACTCCTGGCGTTGTTCTGCGTACCTTATTCTCGGCCCTATCGGATGTGGCAAAACTTCTTTGGTGTATGCATTAGCTACGCAATATGGTTATAAGGTTATTTGTAGTGTCTATCTATTTAAGCGTTGTTTGCACATGATCACATGGACGTTGTTTTTAGGTGTTCGAGCTTAACGCTTCTTCGTGCCGATCGGCAAAAGAAGTCCTTTCTCAATGCTCAGCTGTTTTAGACTCAAAACACGTTTCAAAGGAAGCTCTTTCTGCGTCATTCAGCACATTTGAAATGACTAAGGGTATGTTTCAAGTTCCAGGTTTCTAAACAAGGAAGTGAGGCATTCTCTGGAGCTTAATTTATAGATTATATGACCAAAGCATTTCCTTCTAATGTTCTAAATCTAACTTAGTAATAGAAGCTAAAATGTTTTTTTTATTCATTTGCAGTTCATGCGAATACTGGTTCTCGAAAATCCTCAAACATGCGCTTGTCTTCATTTTTCCAACCCCGAAAGACGGCCACGAAAAAGCGTCCCTTAAAGGAAACTTCAAAAAACACTGCTTCCGGTAATTCGTAGGCTAACGTATGCTTCTCTCATATTAATTAACGGGACCTTATCACGAATTTTCTGTTTAGATCTCCAGGGTCTCAAACTCAACAACAAGTCGCTGGTGCTTTTTGACGAGGTATGCGGTTTTCAGCGATTTCCGCGTTGGTTGGTGTGTGCAAGGTGATTTTGTCAGCCTAATGTCTTCCAGGTGGACGTTCTGTTCGACTCGGACCGTGGCTTTTGGAGCGCAGTTGGACGACTCCTTCAACTGGGCCGCCGGCCAATCCTGCTGACTGCCACCGACCCGGCAGTAGTTCATCGAATCCCTGTGGCCTTTCAAATTTGCAATTTGATGCCTCTCCAGTCACCGGTGCGTTTTTTTTGCTTCACATACATCTTTTTTATGGCTCGACCTCGATATTGTAATGGCGCAACACGGTTCTCAAGTCATCCTCGAAACCACATTTACGCATAGTCCTCATTTTTAGGTCCTTCTGAAACCCCTTTTACGTCGCATTTGCGAATCACAAGGCGCCGTTTTAACCAATTCGTTAATGCAAGTTGTCACTGCTAAGGTATTTGAGGAACAGTACTGTGATATACCCAGTCGGACTGTTTCAACCGCAAAGTGGCTAGTGGACAATGGACAATTTTTCAATGTTCGACAGTCGATTGTGCAATTACAGTGGCTTCTGGCGTCTGGTGGCCTGGGCATCGATCAGGTATCGATTATTTCCGTTCACCTTCACTATTATTCCCTACTTGTCTTACTTTCGTGTTTTAAGGGTTCTCTGTGGCCTCAGTGTTTCATGGCTTTTGTTCACTTAGACCATTCTTTAGTATGTGCTTATATAGTTCAGCTGGAACTTAGGGTTAAGCCACGCTGATTTGTGTCGGCGCAGCATTTACAGTAGCATAATTCTACTGTAATTTATTCTGCCTTCTTTCCAGGCCACTAAGACCGACCATAGCGACCTCATTGGAAGGCTATCCGCCGCATTCCATCGTCTCTTTAGTCTTTCCTTTGTGCACAAAACCAGCTCCCAGACTTCTTCCGAAAACCCTCCACCGGCACCACTTTCCGACGACTTTGTAAAAATATTTGAGTCTGATAACGAGGAACAGCAACCTGCCGCGGATTCTGACACCAAACGACAAATTGTATGTTCGTTTCGCACCTCTCATTTCTTGCAATACACTTGTCTAACACCTTAAAATGCATGCCTTTTGACTGCTATAAACAGATTTAGACATCTGTAGTTCGCAGATAAGTACGGTTACAAGTGTCAAATGCTGTGATATCTTTTCACATTTCTGATTTATATCTTTCTCCTCGCACCAGTTTTAAAGGTGTTAAGTTGTCACCTACAGCGTTCACAAGTTTTATAGTCTAAGTGAGACCTTTCTAGGTGATTAGTTTTTTTTTCACCTTTATTGTCAGAAGATCACGGCGAACCAGTGCCGCGAGGTGTCGACAAGTGTGTTGACGGAACTCTCTCGCGCCACGGACTTGCAAGCTCTGTTGGACGTGTGTTCCACAGTCTGCGGTAGACGGGAACTCCTCGAAGCCACCAAGTCACTTGATTATGCCCAGTCCTCGTCTAACCGCGTGAACGTGTTCACCACTCTCGGTGACTTAGGCTCCGCCCCTCTGACAGGAATTGATCCAATCGGCGCAGTTGGGACATTTGCGGGTGAGGAGGATTGGCGCAGTCTTCTTAATGCCAATGCTTCAAGAACATTTTCGCGACTCGAGTCTCACTTGTTGGCTACTCCCGCCTTACCAGAAGGCTCCGAGTTAGCCGATGGAGTGTGCGGTGGCTACGTCAATGAGCCTTCTACTGTAGAAGAGGTTTTGGCGTAAGTTCGTTTGAGATTTGCTTGGATTCACTCATATTGTACACTTTTAATGACTTTTTAAAATTTGGTACTTGGTACCATATATTCTCCGGGAAGTTATGTGGAAGTTGGCTTTGGCTTGCTGTCTAAGCAAATACAGGGGTTTTGAGCGCAATCATGGCTTGAGTAGTGTTTGCTATGGAACGACATGTGAATCGGTATTATCAATGTCAAATAACGCAAATAGCCAAACATCTCTGAAGTACTAGGAATTTTAGAAACTCAGATTTTGTTTATGCCATAATAACTGCCTGATTTTTGGAATTTTCGATGAAACAGTGCACTTGGCGTCAAGCTGTGCGTGTTTCCGGTGAGTAGCTTTTCTCTGCGTTGAAATTGTGGCGTTGCAAGTTTCCTTAGTAATCTGGTTGTAAGTCGAAGTCGATGCAACAGATTTCTCCCAATTACTCGTCTCCATTGCAACATTGCTTCGAGGTAGCCACTTAGCCAAGACGGTTGAGATCGATCCAAGTTCCCAATATTTCAGCATTTAAATGTATTTGACCTGACATTTAATCCTTGAAAGTGACCCCATCTACAGAACTTCGAGTCATTTCGACAAAATGACTGTGTCGAAATATGACATATTTGTATTTTATCGAGTAAGACAGAACAGAACTTTTAAAGATTTGAAAATTGGGCGAAATCTGAGCATCAGTTTCGGCCACGAACATACGGTCATTTGTGTGTGGCCCGTTTAGTTGCCACAACAGGTCATTAGGCCTTTGTGCAATGCATTTTCCTTCCGCCTCTAGTCCACCTGCCGTAAAGACAGCTTCACGAACTCTAACCTGCCTCAAGGCCTTGTCAAACGGCAGAAAGACCAATGTCCTTTTGCAGCGAGAGTGCGCGCTTGACTATCTTCCAGCTTTGCGTGGTGTATCAAAACTGGACGTATGTCGACAGGGCTCTACCACTCGACGCCGGTAATTTGCCTTATTTGTCTTCATGTTGACGGTTATCCCAGGACCCAATTACTAGTCACATTTTAGTTTAGATTAGGCGCTTTTAATGTGAATCACAATTCAACGAAATCCTTATAACATGTAGCCGTTTCTTTTTCAGCTTTCGCCAATACTTCGACCAAATTGGACTCCACTTGCCTGACGAGATCCGGAACCTACTGTCCAGCTGACTGTAAATCGTTGTTTTACTCTCGTTGTATTTCCCCTTTTATTGTATGGTGTACAGTGAGTTTTATGCTTTTTCGTTTTACCTGCTTTTGTATTCTCTTGATGTAACAACGCGCTATTTCTGAGGATCGTCACTCTAGTTTTGTTATTTGTGTTTTTAATTGCCGATATTTTCTATTCGAGGTTTAAGGAGGCCATCAGTCAAAATTTATCTCATTGTATCGCCTAACTGGTAGTCGTATGTGACTTGTTTAGTTTGAGAGAAGTTTGAATGGTAACTGAAAATCTTTGGAAGGTTTTCAGTTGCCCTTGAGGTACAAGATTTCGTGGGATTTTACGGGAAGAGGTAGGATTTCACTTAGCATACAGTGCTTTAATATGGGATCTTATCCACGTAGTTTTTGTGTATCAAATTCTTTTCGACGCATCTATATACCCTAACACATTAGGCTTGCTTACAATGGGACTATGACAAGTTAAAAAAATCTGTATTGATGTGCCTTGATGTAACAAATGCTCAGCAATGCGGATTTGTTTGAGAATATGGCACTCATAAAATAAACTTATAAGTGCTTTGGTCCTTGTAAATATAGGCTGGATTACTTTTTGCAGTAAATGCACACCTAACAACTGCATTTGCTAATGCTTGGGCAGTATGAATATAGGCTTGGTAATTTTGATCATGTGCATATGAGATGATGCCTTCAGATATTAACTATCGAACATATGTTAATTGTTATCACCAGACTCGTCTTAAAATAAATAAGCAACTGAAATTGTTGGTCGAGTCCATAATTTGTCTTTAAAATCTAAAACCAGCAGCCGAGGGTTGTAAAATGTGGAATATGGTTTCAGATTAAAACTTCTGCAAGTTCAATTAGATACATTGGTTCTAGTATATATTTTAAGTGGATATTTTAACAAGATATATGTAAAATATGCACAGAGGATTTTAAGGCTTAATTATTGCAGTGATCAACAACTGGCTATTAAGGAATCATTGTGAGGCAAAGTGTACTACTGTAATAATGCAAGAACAATGATCAAATAGATGTGCCTGACAAATGACACCTCACATCCACCCACGTGGAATGATTTTCAAAATTTGGCGTAAAGGGATCCCAAAAATTAACACAATACAATTTATAAGGATAAAATAAAATAAACGCAAGTGATTTTTGTAGAATTCAGGCAAAAATCCACAAGTGGCTCAATTCATTAAAGACGCCCCAAATATTTAAAATATAATTGCACATAGCCGTTTTGAAGCCTAAATTTTCCCATTTAATGTAATGTAAAAAAATCGGCACTGGCTTACGTAAAAAAATCACGTCTCTAATATAAATATGATATTAGAGGCAAAGAAAAGTTTTAAAACATAACAAATTTGCATTTAGTCTTATTGCCTTAATAGTGTTGATTAACGTGTGACCCAAATTATTTTGAAAATTAGCAGGTTGCTGATTTGTTTATTTTGCACATTTTCACTTTGCGACCGTTCTGCGTGTTTCAAACAGGGTGCTATTGACCCATTGAACCAATGACAGCGGGCGTCCATTAGAACCTATTATGCTTTTATCGTCTAGTAAAGTTAATAACGCTAACACTAACTTTTTATTATCAGCGACCGTTCTTTGGGGCTTGGCAGTTGTTCTTGTTATCCCTATTATTTATTTTTTGGTGATATCTCTTTCTGACACCTTCAGTTCCGGTAGTTATTGAATGATCTTACTGAACCCATGTAGGTAGCATGTTTTTGAATGCCCTCACGCCAAAGTTTTATGTCGCCTTGACGGGAACTAGCTCTTTCCTATCAGGTCTCATATTGGTTTGTCTAGTCATTTAGTCATAACAAAGATTTTAGATCTTCGAATGGTGGTACTTCAAGAAGTACGGGACATCTTTCATTGAACAGATATCGCTTACACACATATACCCTCTGTTAGGTGGTAGCGATGAAGAAAATGACGGAGATAGTGTAGATTCTACGGGTCTTCACAGTGGCCCTCAAGGTATTGACCATTGTTCGACTCGTATATTTTTTAGACTGTAAGGTATCTCGCAACCCGTACAGTCTTTTTCGGGGTGCTGAATATCAAAAGGCAGCCAAAGAATTCGGAAAAGATCCGCTTACTTACTATGACATGAATTTGTCTGCCCAGGATCATCAGACATTCTTTACATGTGAAGCCGATGCCGGCAAACCTGAATATGAATGTAAATTGTGCTTTTGTGAATAACGACTTAGTGATGCAAATGGCGTGGCGCGAGAGAAATCCTGAGGAACGGATCAAAAAGGCAAGGGAAGCCTTGGCGAAAAATTCCGAATGCTCGACTGCGCTGATATTGTTGGCCGAGGAAGAGTGCTCCTCCATTATCGAGGCATGTATTTATTTAAAACATTTTTGATTTCGCCATCTCTATGTTCGTTCTTATTTTGATATTCGATTTATGCCACTTCAAAACACATGACTCTTCTAAAAGTGCTTCATGCGGATGGAGCAAGGTCGTTAAATTGATACATGCGAAATTGTATTCGTGTTTTATTTACAGACAGAGAAAATGTTTAAACAGGCGTACAAGATTTCGGAGGCATCTCTTCGGAGGTCTCAGCAAATACACTCCCACAACCCCACTCAGGATGCCATTTATCTGCGAGACATTCATGCCTTCATATTTATTCGACGTCGACTCGCAATGTGCGCTCGGAAACTTGGAAAGTTAAAAGAGGCCATAAAAATTATGCGTGAGGTACGACGTTGTCCTCTGCTTCATTCTGAACATTTTCCTTGCGACCAAACTCTGCTTTCATATCAAGCATATTTTTTAAATGCTTTTTTGCATCTACTGTTTTCAGTAAGCCGTTTTTTCTTGTGCAAGGCAAAAGTTTTTGCCTGATTAGGCGATTTGATGACAAATTGTGAACTTTTGTGATGTCTTTAGTTGCACAAAAGTGGGTGAGGGATTTTTAAAATGGCTTAGCGTAAGCACTTTGAGCGGACATTATTGAGAAACAATGACTGGACAGGATTGACCATTGTTGGTGCCTCCCATTACTCCATTTATTCAATCTATTCTAAATAGAACGATGTAATATTTCGCAGACTAAATCCTTGCAAAGGTCTAGCATTTTTTTAAAAAGTTGCCCTGGTGTTGTTTCATCAAATCGCGATCCCTGCTGTCAACTCGATTCGGTGAATTTATTCCTCACTTTGCGCACTTTTTTTGAGGCGTTGATTTTTAGTTTTCCGCGTCTTTAGTTGTCATGGTTAGTGCTTAAATGTCGAAACTTCGTGGTGCTACTGTAGCATTTGTAGGCAGTTTTGATTTCCCGGCCCAGTAAAACAAAGAAGTAGGTTAGAATGACGTGGTGATCTTGTAGCGCTCACTCTGAGTGATGAGAAACTAGTGGATTTGGTGGAAATCGCCACTGAAAGTATTCAATTCCTTTGGAAATTCTATCATTGACCGTGTTAGATGATGTTTACCATTTACTAATGATTAGTTATGTCGCATCCCCCACGAGCTCATTTCACATGCTCAAAAAGGTGCACTTTTAGTTAATTGATCTGATGCAATAGAACATGAGGCGTGTACTCTTTCGTGCGCACTCACGTGTGATTTCCTGACTTCGCGTAGATGACTCCCAAATCGCCTTTGTGGTTGATCCCATTCCAACTGGAATCAGAGTATGACTTGGTCTCGTATTTTTTTTACGAAAAATATGCCACTTCTGTCAGTGAAGACCACAAATCAGGTTGATTACTTGCTTAAAGTTCGCGTTGGCGTTATCCCTCTCGCATTTTTCTCAACTCAGCCTACTTTTCACGCATAACTTGGGCCCTGCCACCTCTGCGTACTCTAACGTAATACAATGCCCTTTTTTGTCATGGCGCCGATCAATCTCAAACTTGTTTAACCTAATGATGCTTAATGCTTACTCTTGAAACTATCACTCTCGCCCTGCTATTCTCCCATTCAGCCAAATCCCTTTAACCTCTTGTGCCTTCTGAATTAATATTCTCACTTCTGTGATTGGCGAAGTTTGACCATGTTTTAACATTTTGTTAAAAGAACTCGTAACCCGATCGGTAGTGATATGCGTTTTCAAAGTGCCTAGTTTGCTTGGCTTACCTATGCACAAGCTTCATTTTCCGATTGTTTGAAGTTTTTTAGTCTAATTGACACCTTAATTAGCCTTGTTTATTTGGCAGTCGATTGGGTGAACGGAAGTTAATAAAAAAACCACAATTTTACACTTGTTTTCGTCTGTACAGCACATAAACAACCTTTCGTACTAACGTGCTAGAGATTGGGAAATCTTATCGCCTAACACTTAGGCACTCATGCACCACCGAGTGCCCTACTTTTTTTTACCTACCCTGGCGGCTGATTGTCGTTGAGTGTATTGATACACGAAGTTAGTCCGCATGCGAGGCCGCGTCTTCCCATGGCGGCGTGTATAAAACAGAAATTCTTCTGGCAGATGGTCAATTAAACGACCCCAACGCAATGTCCTAGTGTGTTGGGTAGGGGAAGGGGGTTAGCATGCTAAATCTACCAACCAAGGCAGCTTCTCCAGTTGCGTACGCCTTCGTCTCTTACCCAAAGCATTCGATCATCTTGTAGTCGATTTTCTGTAGTGCATAAAGCCTTAATCGACGACGGGCATTGTGTGTTAATTTGCGTATTTTAGCTTATTCGTGAGTACCCAAACTTGAATCTCTTCAATATACACGAAAACCTCATTGAATGCTACCTGGAGGCCCAGCAGTACGCCGATGCACAGGCCTTCCTCACCAAGTACGACGGTAAGCCACCTTCTCGTTGTCGTGTGGGCACTTCTTCTTCTTGTGTGAGTTACTGACACTGTCTTTATTTTTCACCCCAAAATTCCAGACATCCACTATCCCAAATCCGCGACTATCTGCTACACAGCCGCTCTGCTGAAGGCTCGTCAGGTGGCGGAGAAGTAAGTCAGCGATTGGTTTGCCGAGATTTGATGGTGTGGTAATGCTGAGCACCTGTGGATACCCTTCGGATTTGCCAGCAGATCAGCTACTTCTAGGGACAAAATACAGCGACGTAGATGGTCCCATAGGGCCTTTTATCCGTGTCCCTCCGCTGCACTTTGTGTCACCTCTCTTTTTTGTCCAGATTTTCACCAGACATCGCGTCTAGGCGTGGCTTGAATGCGGCTGAGTTGAACGCCGTGGAGGCAATTCACCGGGCCGTCGAATTTAATCCCCACGTGCCGAGAGTAAGTCCTGGTTAGTTTTCTTTTTATCACTGCTGATTTGCTGTCCGTTTCCTGAAGTATCGTTGGAACCTCATTCTGCTGGCCCGCTTTGCCTGAATTGTGTGATCGTATGCGGTAAAATCTAATTATTAGGTGTATGATTTAATTTATACAGCTATTTTGGCCGAGCTTAAAATCATTTTAAAGAAGGAGTACATTTTCGCGGTCTTTTGTAGTTTTAAAAGGGTTGGACGCAAGGCTTTTTGGAACACTGAACGGCAAGTCTACGTGCCTGAGTAACATAAACTCTCAGAATAGCGGAGTTTACGATGATGGCATCTGCTAAACAGCACATCCAATGGCACTGCACTACATACGAATTCAAACAGGAAAAAGTTGCAGCCGTCGTAGTGTCCTATGAAACATTTTGTTGCGCTCTTGGTGCTGGCGACGTGTGTTTATTGGCACTAGCGTTGTAGAAGTGGTGTTTTCGGTCTTAGTGACCAGCCGCGCCCCAGACAGCAGCCTCGGAAGTGTGAAGATACGGAAACGCAGACTCTACTGAATGAAGACCCATGGCGAAGCCATCTAGAGCCTGCAGCAGCTCAGTTAGGAGTCACGCAAACAGCATTATCACCTCCAAATGAGAAAAAAATGGAATCTTTAGAAGATGGGTGCTCCATACGTTGACTGAACACAACCTAGATCAACGTATGAACAGTATATTATTTACGAGAACTCTAGACGTAGAACGCAGAATCGTGGGTAGATCCGAACATCGACGCCGAAACAGGATATCCACTTGGGGGAGGTATCTGTTTTTGTTTATCTGATGAGGCATGAACGGTGCACATTGTTGCGGACTCCTAGAACCTGGTCGTCAGATGGTGACTGCGCTTCGCTGCAGCCGTCAGTTGAAGAAACTGAGCGTAGAGTGTGATGAAAAAGGCCATTTACTGGACCAGACAGCAGGCAGGTCATGCTGCCGCTGTTGTTGCATGACAACGCTTGACCACCTCACGTTGCTTGCGCAACTGGGACGACCCTCCTGAATTCCAAATGGGAAGTTCTCCAACATGCAGCATGTTCACCGCGTTCAGTGAGGCAGCAGCAGGCCTTGTGGGCTAAACAGTTCCTTAAACGCTGGAAGATGCGCCTGCATGTTTGTTTCGCGACTGCATTCACAGGTTACCTGGTTGGTAACACAAGGTCAATGTCTTCCCCTTCGTATAAATGCTCACAGTCACTCATTAAGTGCCATAATCGAATCTAACGTCAAAATAATACGTCAGTAGGGACCAATTAAATGCGTTTCTTGCTTACTTTTGTTTATTTTAGTAGCAGAATGATGAATTACTAGACATAGACTCGTTATTTATTCGTAGCATTGCGTGTTTGTTTATGTAAATACTAATTTGACTTTAAAATTGATTAGACAACCAAAGGAGCGAAATGTCACTAATCAAAACCACAACGCAAGTACATATGCCTCATGAACAATAAATGCATTTTATAAAATTACGTTGAAAATTTCAGTTGAGAGTGACGGCCGTCAACTAGATAATTCAGTACAAGGGCAGTGAAATACATGAAAGTTCAAATGATTTTTAATACATTGGAAACAGCTAAACTTGCCGTACTCTATGGAGATTTGTAGGTCTCAGGTTCAATTTCAGGTCGGTATATTATACATGAGTTTGTGCACTTCACGTAGGCTAATCACCATGCGAATGCTTTAAATTTTAAGACAGTTTTGATCTCGTAGACTTGATTAAGTACAATGCATTGTTCATGTCCATTGGCGATTTGTACACCCCGGAACCACATGTATTATTAAGCATTAATATGTCCATGTTTTCCATAGTTGAAAATGTCATCGCCATAAGCCGCAAGGTCTTCTTAAGGAAAGTTGTTGCGGTTAAGTCATTTACAATTGACTTCATTGTCTTAGAAATACTGTTTATTTAACCGTAATTGTCATTATACTGTAACAAACCACAGAAAACCTACTTATCCTGTCTTAGGAGCGTTGTATTAGGCATATCTTTGAACACTGGCCTTTTCTTAGATTAGGCGGTTAAGCATTTCTTAGTGATCACTTTTGTTCAAGTCATTAGGATTGTAGTTTTTGAACCACCTTGGAACCACTCGACTTTTAATATACAGGCCGAAGGCTTGTAGCGGATTAACAGCGATCGCGCCTGAGTGAACCATGGTCACTGACCTGACGGTGACAATGACTCACCCTCTTTTTCATTGGTTACTATATCCGATGCCTGTCATCCGTTCACTCATCCACACACTAAGACACACTTGGCTGGCGTGACGCTAATAAACGGTCGTGTCCTTGGTCGCCTCTCTTCTCTCCATTCTCGGGTTGTTACGGGTTGTTAACTAGAGGGTTGTAAGGTAGTGCTTAGACAATAAGCTACTACAGGCTTAGATTAGCAGCTAGTTTTTGAGCATGGAAAAAGTAGCATCAATGTATCCACCCAGGAATCGCTAAAACTTATTAAATCATGATTTTTCACTTTGTAATTAGGTTAATTGTCTGGGCCTAACTAAACCTCAGGTGAAATACCAGTCTCTTCAAATACCCTTAATGAATTCCTTAAAAAAAAACAAAAAATAAATCATTTACGACTTTTATGTGCATAGGCCTGTATCTGAGACCTAGCCTAACCAAATTTATTATGTCAGTGGTGCTTACGTGAATGTTATCAAGCAAAATCGTGAATTAGGATGCAACTTTAAAGAATCATCAGTTTTCGGCGTCGCTCAATGACTCTTAGCATTCTCACCACTAGAACAAATCTGTGAAATGTGTTATAAGCATTTTGAAACTAACTGGATCCATTGCAAATTAGTTTTAATTGTTATACACCGTAATTTATTTTTGATCATCGTTGGGTATACTTTTCCTAGCGGCAAGCCTTATTGTGCCTTAGTAAACATGACCCCAGAATTTTTAGTGCTAATCAGAAACTGAAAAATGTCCCGAACACCACTTTCCATGTCACCGGACACCATGCATGCCTTGTAACTTCTTTCTATATTTTTACCCTTTTAGGCCTGCCAACTAAGCGTGTCTCCCGACTTCTGTCGTCAATTTGGTCATTTTTTCCCGTCTATTAGTCTTGCAAACTTTCGCCGAATAAACGCTACAAGAATTTTCCCGTCTTCGTCCCATGCCTTACCGTGTATTTGCTACTCACAAGTAGGCCACCTCTCCTCTTAGGTCAAATCCCTGCACGAACGTTACAAAAAAGCAGCGCCAATACAGAATACTTGCAAAACAGCGGGTGGTGGATCGGATTTGTCAAATAAACCAAACCATAATTTTTCAATAAATAAGTTTTTACTCTTGAATACACATCTGGATGCCAATCCGCGAAAAAAGACTAAAATATACAGCAAATTACTTACACGAAGTTCAAAATTGTGTCATTAGATGATTTTTTGTGAATGCAGGCTAATTTTTTGGATAACCCATTATTTTTAATTTATTTATATTTCGTGGTTTGAGAGCGTGTAAAATTTTAAAATAATCATTACAGTCAGTTAACCAAGAATGTTAGAGAAAATAATTTTTAAGTAAACTGATTATAAAATCCGTTATATAAGCTCTTGTTCGATAGTGAATGGGTATATAAGAAATCATTTTTCACAAAAGTGAAAGTGTGATTAATTGAAATTTAAATCTTTTTTTAAACGACTCACGAATGGCATATGTTTGCTTTATCAGTACTCTTGGCTAGGGCCCATATCACTGTTTGCAAGATTAAGAATCAAATTAGGTATATTTGCAAACGCTTATCTTCTTAATTTCTTCACTACTTCATACCGCATTCCATGTTGTAATTTTCAACACAAGCGCTACAAGTACGCTGAGCAAGCCAAAAAGCGGGATGAATCTTACAAAAACGCAAGTCGTTTCAAGTTTTAAGTTGCTTTGTCTCGATGCATTGAATATATCCAAATATTTAGGGAATTATTAGTCAAATTACTAGCGAAACAATAAGGAGAATAATTAAATTTGGACAAATTTCTACTAAATTAATATTCGCTGGGTTTCTAGACCAAATACTAACCACATTCCGTGTTTTGCAAACATGCCCAAGCATTGGGACAGAGAATTTCGAGCCACGTTTTAATCACATAATCGACTTATTTTTCTCCCATGCAATTGAATATTTTTAATTTAGTCGCTTTTTAAATTATACAAACAACTACTTAATTTTGTACTAGCCTAAATTTTCTGGAAAAGTAATCGCAAAGCCTAATTTATTTAACTAATCTTTTATCGGTGGCGCGCTTAATGCATTTTAGCGGTGGTTTGCTCACCCTGAAATTGACGTGTCTCTCTTGCCGTTTTTACCATGGATTCTTTTGTTATCCCCGGTATGATATTGCACTAATTTTTACTTGAAGGTACCGTCCTAGCTAACAAGGACGAGAAAACACTAGAAGGTGATTATACTCATGTTCACGAAGGCAAAATTCTTGCAACTGTCGCCGGTCGTGTCAAAAATACAAAGAAGTCAGATACTGAAGTACTCAAATTATTAAATTTAATCTCCTAGGTTGTGATTTCTGTTATTCCAATTCGGAAAGCCTGCCCCACCCCCGACGTTGGATCCATCGTTCTTGCCAAGGTGTCCCTTATTCCCTTTTAATGCGAAATACTCTTTATATTTAATTAAATATTCACATATTGTATAGCTAATGTTTATCTCGGCTTTTTATTGTTATACACCTAAACGCAAGTATTGACGATAGTCATCACGCATTATGCTGCCATGAATCTTCTTTTAACTTCAATGTGGCCGTATTACCATTAATGTTCATTTACGAACTTTTCTCGTACGCCTTGCATCATGCTTACTTTCTATTTGGTACGTCTCGAGTAAATTTTATCGTGTTAATGATGCGGTGTTGAGATTTTAATCGATTTCGCGATGAACATGCTGCCAGTTTGTCTCAAATAAATTTCAGATCCCAATGTAATCTATCCTGTCGTTTTTCGCAAGTTCGTGCAATTCAGAATCCTGGTTTGTCCCATTATAGACTGTAGAAGAATAAATGCAGAATGTAATCGAAATCAACTATTACTCTTTATCACGTCTGTTGTTGTTTTGAAGTAGTTAGCTTAATAGATTAATTATTCATGATTCCTGATACTAATAAATGCAAAATCGCCCAAAAAATGGCTGTTTGATTGATAGACGTGTTATGTATTTTCACGTATTTTGCCAACATCAAAGTTTACTTGGATTATTTTCCCATTTTTAGATTTCTAGTATCACGCGGCGTTTTGCTCGCTGTGACGTCGTGGCCCTCGGTGACCGTCCTCTTGCGGGTACATTCCGTGGCATGATCCGACGTGAGGACATTCGCGCTACTCAACGCGATCGAGCGGAGCCAGCGCTGTCTTTTCGCCCGGGCGACTTAGTACGCGCCCGAGTTGTAAACGTAGTTGGGTCGACGTCATGCGGCTACGCCTCGACCTCCCTCCCCGACGCTGCACAGTGTTGTCCTGAAGTGGGATCTGTCGTCACGTCAGCACGTGCTGTCGCCGCTTCCGTGCTGTCGTCGTCGTGCGTGACCTCCGCCACTGTCTCTGGCGCGACGTACCTTCTCTCGACTGCTGAGCCCGAGCTAGGCGTGGTGGTGGGCATTGGCAGACCGCCACTGAGTGGAACTACGGCGATATACGGCGCCACCGGCGGCTGTCCTCTCCTTCCTGCCAGTTGGACTGAAATGGTCTGTCCCCGGACGATGGCTCGCTTCCCTCGTAAAGTTGCTCGCGTCCCTGACGACCTCTTAAATGTACTGGCTTCGAGCACATTACCACAACCGCTTACGTCATCTTAAGATTTTATAAACATCTTTTTGCACGCATTATCTTTACCTAGGGAAATGGGTTCATGTTGGTACCGCACTCAGGATTAGCTCTCCATGTGTGTTTTCTATTAACTAAATCAAGGTAGTGAGGGTTGCAGATTTATTGTCTCCAGGAAAATTACCGAAGCCGTTGAATGGTACGTTTTTTTATGAGTTCAGCCATGAAGTTGCAATAATAGACGTAGGGGATCATTTGTGAAGTGCTCATGTTGTCTTCAGAATCTGGGTGTTTTGTACTCAAGGAGAGTAAAGTGATAACGCAACATTATGAAAACGTACCTAGGAATATTTTACTTAGTACTCTGGCCGAAATAATGACTTATTAGGATTTAAGTCGTCTTCTCTTTTCCCACAACTAAATCCTCAAGGTTTCACGATTGGGTGTACCGATGAGCGAACCTAACTGGACTCAGGTTCATTGATTTACCAAATGTGTACTCAGATGTGTGGCAACTAAGTAGATTATCATCCAAGTGTGTTGCTTGAGTGTGAGGAAGAGGCATTGTTTTCGTCCGGGTAAGCAACTTTGAGGCAGTCAGCGCTGATTTGAACTTAGAATGTGTGGAATGTAATGATGCTGGTCGGAACTGCGCTCAATAGTCACTGGCATCAGATCAACTCGTGAATGAACTTCACAGCAAACGCTCCAAAGTTACCGTGTTTGTTCTGCCTTATCGCCTAGCATGTATCGCTCTACC